GATCAGGTTCCCTGGCTTTACATTTTAATACCTTTTCCAGCCTTTCCATCTCTGTAGTAACATCCACCTTCAAGGTATGGAAGGGAGTAACTACATTCCCCATGGTGAGGTGAACAGGTTCCTTCTCAAACAACATGCTGTTGCTGTCTGCATCCTTGAAGCCAGGAGGCTGATAGTCTTGAGGGGTTACTGAGAATCACAGTTTCAAATAGAAAAATACTACCTATCTTTGCAACGCTCGGGTTTCTTAACCCAGGACACTAAACACACTGTACATACGGATGGATAATTGTTGAGCGGCTGCAGACCAATACAAAATAACCTAATTAACAGTTACACATTGACAGTTACTTTACAAACTATAATTTCTGGTGTATGTTTATCTATGGCATTTCCTATGAGCAAATTAGCAGAGTACCTCCACAAAGAAACAACATTAAAGGCTTACCTTCATCATAGTAGGACAGCTTCATATTAAGGAAGACCTTATCAGGCAGAGGTCCCAGATTCTGCATCAATGTATACAGCTTACGCACAAGCAGGATGCTGGCTTTCCGTGTGTCACCTAAGCCCATCTTCATCATTTTCCTGTTGGTGTGACTGGGAAAAAAAACAACTTAATTTACAATCAATACAACCAAATCTCATGTCAATCCATCCATCTATTTATCTTCCAAGCAATTATCCAGTACAGAATCATGTTGACCCAGCTGCCTACCCAGAGAAGCATAGATCGAAAGGCAGGCAAACACCCTGGATGGCCTGCTAACCACATAGCCATGATTCTTAAATGATTTGCAGCACTGAAATATTTCTCACTGTTTAAAGACTTCATTACAGCTCACCTTTCAGAGTCCATTTCAGGCCCATTTTCGGTGTATTGAATTTTAAACTGGTAGCATTCTGTAACTTTCTGAATGAGAGATAGCACTTACAATTATACATCATATATTTCCACTAGAGGTAGAAAGTTCAGGTTCAGAATGGACAAATCCAGACTTAGATCTTGTTTTAACTAACCAGTTGAGTAGTCTGTTAATGTGATTCTTAATACTTAAGTGGTTGGTGGAAACAAAATCTTGGTCTGGATTTCTACTTTCTGAACCTGAACTTTCCACTTCTGACTAATACCATGCTATAATGTCAATGACTGATAACCTCAAAAGCCCAAAAGGGATACTGCTGAACCACAGCTGAACAAGTTGCTTAACCGAAAAAGCCACAGTTAAGTGAAAAGCTGTGTTGATGTTAAAACTACAAACTGTTTCATATAAAAGCTACTGAGATACAAGAAAAGCTATTAAGGTAAAAGGTGAATTTCACTAACCTGGGGGTTTTCTGGATCAGTATAAATCTAGAGAAAAACATTTCTTAATAATTTATTTCACCTTTAAAATGCAGTATTGGCTTTTCAAAAATTGATACTTACAGAGAGGACTACCATTCGCAACTAAGAAAACAAAAGAAAAATTATTTCACATTTTTAGGTTAGTCAGTTTTTATAGCATAGACAAACCCCAAGGAGCAGTACCAGTAGCAGATCCAGAAAGTAAAAATCCAGACCAAGATTTTGTTTGAACCAACCAGTTGAGTACTCTAAGACTGTGACTCTTTATTCTCAACGAATTAGTTGAAGGAAAATCTGTCCACTTCCGCTACAGGCCATATACATATTTAGCCTTCAGATCAGTACTCAGTCTTATGCCTCCTGCATTATAGCTTAATACTCTGAGCCTGGGAACTCTAAGTGTTACAGTTTAGTCTAGGGATGAGCCATGACAGAATGCTTGCATTGTTTTTGCCATTTTATTTACAGCAGTTAGACACACATAAAGTGACAGACAACCATAATCAAACATGGATTTTGCCAAGACAAATAGAAAACCACATTTATAAAAACATATAAATTCTGAATCCGCGGCAGGCAATACCAAAATAAACAAATCCAAAGTGAGGGAACATTGAAAAGACAACAACCTTACACTATATAAGTACTCTCTTTTCAGCATTTCAAAAATAATTCTGTTGTTTTTTTACAATGAAAATAGCAGAAATTGTCCAAACCCAAAAACTAAATATTGAAAGAAATTAAAATGTTACTTACATATTTTTTCTGAAGGGCATCAAAGCACCCATACAACCTGTAAATCAGGGTACAAAAATCATAAATGAAGAAGAAACAAACACTAATAACCCTTGCACCATGTGTGAGGGTCTGGGGGTGCCATGTGATGGACTGGACATAATAAGTGAGATATGATATTTACCTTAAATACCCTCTGTGTTAATGTAACTGTATTCTCCTAATTCATTAAGGCAGTGTTTGTCAACCCATATCTTTGTGACCCACTGCGTAAGTAGATGTCCTGTACCAAGTCTATTTAAATACACTTTTTTCTGATTTTGAGGCTTAGTGAAAATTAGGCTAAACCCTTAATATGTCTGTGCTAATTAAGCCATAAAATCTCAAGGGCTGTACTATTCTTTTGTCTACACTGTATATGACCTCATACCAGGTTTGTGTTTCTGCCTACACATAATCTAATCCTCTGAGGTAGCTGAGTTTTGACATAGCAGTATTTCCAGATAATATAGACCTTCTCACCACCGTTATCTCTTACCACTGTACAATCTGACTAGCCCCTGGGCAGCTCTTCTCTTCTCTCAGTATCATCACTTTTTGCTCTATACATAAAGAACAACCGGCAGTGTAAATATAGAGTTCCCCCTATCTGATCGATTGGAATTCTTATAATCTATTGTCCTCTTTTCCATACTTGGTAGAGTTACAATAATAAAATTAACATAAAATGGGAAAGCCATCCATCCATCTATTTTCCAAACCGCTTATCCTTTTTGGGTCACGGGGGGTCCAGAGCCTATCCCAGAATCTACAGGCACAAGGCGGGGAACAACCCAGGATGGGGGGCCAGCCCATCGCAGGGCACACTCACACACCATTCAGTCACACATGCACAATTTAGTAACTCCAATCAGCCTCAGCATGTCTTTGGACCGTGGGGGGAAACCGGAGTACCCGGAGGAAACCCCACAACGACATGGGGAGAACATGCAAACTCCACACACATGTGACCCAGGCAGACACTCGAACCCGGGTGTGAGACAACAGTGCTAACCACTGCACCACCTTGCCACCCCCATGGGAAAGCCAAGAAAATAAATGATAACTCAGACCTTGTGATAATAAAAGTAACCTATATATGAAAATGTGTTATTCTGTTTTGGTTTACCTTCTACATATTTGCTTCCATATGCTTTTTCTGGAAACAGGCCCCTAAGGTAAGTGATACAGGAAACTGCTATGGCCAGCAATTTCTTCACAAGCACCAAGGACTGCTGCTCCGTTGTAACTACATTTGGCAGAATCTGTGTAATCTACATAGACAAAAAGTAACATTAATAAATACAAGTGAGACCATATCACAATTATTGCTCAGTAGTAATGTGCAGGCAGTTGTCGACTAACATAGTAATCAGTGCGATTTCACAAGCTCCTACGTAAGTCAAATTTCACGTATGTCGGATTTACCTTCCTAAATCATGGAAAACAACTCGCAGCACAAAACGTGTAAACCTACCAATACGTACTAAGGAACACATATGACACAATAAAATGTAAAATGACTTAAAGGCGCATTTCACCGTTTTAGGTTAGCGCTTCTGTAAAGGCGATGTTTCGCAGGTATTTTTCGCGTATACCCGGATTTACTTAACTCAGTTTTACGCAAGTCGAGGGCCGCCAGTATTATACTGTACATCACAATGGTGTACTGCAGTTTTTTCCCACCCCGGTTCTCGGGGACCCCCAGACAGTCCGCATTTCTGATCCCTACGCTGCAAGGGAGCAAAACCAAAGACTGTCTTGGGGGTCCCCGAGGACCGGGTGGGAAACACTGGGTACTGGGTAAGTGATGGACGGTGTATTCACTGTATTGTATCGTATTATTAGATTAAATCACTGTCAGTGTGACTTCAAAATACATCAATTCAGAATCTGTACATACGTATGTGCCAGTTTCACGCACCGTAGAAAGATTTAACCGTATTTTTCTCGGCAATTGAATAGATGCTGAGTAGGTGGGTACCTGATCAGTCCTGGCGTGCTGCACACAAGCCATGACGGCTCAGGGCGGGATCTTCGTCAGCTGGCTGCAGAAACGCTGGGAAACCACATCTGGCAAAGTCAAACACCTCAGACAGCACCGTGATTAGTTAATCCCCCAAATATGCTTGCTAAGTACACACAATTAGCCACCTACGCCTGTTTTCAATTGGCCACCTACATGTATTCAATATCTGAAAAGACGTACTTTTGTCACTAGCTTATTAACAAGAAATACTAGGCTCCAGTTGCCATCGATTTAAATAAAAATAGCTAAATTGTTTTGAGGAATGTGTATGAAATTGTCGAGCATTTAACATTCACAATACTATTACCCTTATCAAAACCAACCTAGCTAAATTAGGCTATTGTTTAGACAAATGTACCAGCTAGTTTTGTCTACATCCCATGATCTTCAGGTGCCGTTAGCTTTTCCTTCAACTTTCGCGCCATATTTTTGTCTCAACTGTCGTTCTACTCATTAGTGGAAAAAAGTAATCAGTCATCTAGTACCAAAATTTTGTGTGTAAGGTGTCCAATGGACATCATAACCATTTGTAATTTTTTATTTTGCGATTCGATATGCTTAATAAGTAAGAAAACTACTTACTTTAAGCAATAAATAATGTTTTTCAGCAAGAACGACTTATTCAGAGGGGACTCTCTGGACGATTGGGCAAATATTTCTCTTTGCAGTTAATGTTTGTCTCCTTATTATAAATCAGAAATAGCCCAATTAATAAAAATAAAATATATATAAAATTAGCACGTGGAATTTTAAGAGACGCATCCAATCGAAATTTTTAAAAACGTAAAAAAAAAACATACCATTTACATTGCTGAATACCACATAATTGGTAACATTAAAAATAAACAGCAAATGACAATGACTGAATCTGACTGATTTTTCGACAGTACAAAACAGTATAAATGTGCACTAGCATATAGAATGTCGTTATTAGATGCGTACATATCAATCATGTTATATTAATGGCTTTAATAAATCATTTAAAATTTATTGGCTTTTTAAAACTTTTATATACATAGGGCTTTCCTTTAGTCTATTGGTTACTGTATGTGTCTCTCAGTGATGGCGATCCCGCACGATGATGTCACTGTCGTCTTGCGCCATTTTAGGTAGAATAAAGAAATAGTACAGACGGCGGACGCGTTTTAGCTCACGACAAGGGCAGAAAGGTACCATCTTTGTAGAAGTAGAATTAGGGGTACAGGTTTATCCAGTTAGAACATGTCCTTGGAAAACCAGGAGTCTGAGGCTCAGCTGGAGTCCGAAGAGGAAAAACAGGTGGGTTGTTTTATGTGTGTACGCTTCTGCTTGTATACACTGTAGGTAGGTAAATAACGTCAGCTGAGGCAGCGGGCTGTTTATTATGGGGGGCTGCAAATTTTCTGTGGCGAAACCTTTAAGAAATCAGTGGAGAAACACTACCGTAGTCGTTTCGTATGTTATACGGCGGCGCTTGTGTGTTTTTGGAGACTGGAGCACAGACGGAATCACCGGTCTCGCGCGGGGCTTTCCCGGTGCCATTGGTTTGAGCACCTGGCTGGCACGTCGGCGCCTGGACGCCATTGGTCCGAGCTGGCGTGGGGGCGACGCAGCGTGTTCTGGTACAGTAACCACGGTCTTCGGAGAAAGCTGTTTAAGTGAAACGTGTGACTGAATAGCAAGTAAAGAGATAAGGAAAAAATCAGTGCTGGGCGGGCTGACACTAATAGGGAACTTTGGGCATCGCCGAAGCTATTGTATAGCTGGAATGATTATCGATATAGCAAGTGTAATTTAAACTATGTGAACGTATTACCATAATGAAAAAACATAGATCATACTAATTCTAAAGCTGATTACTACCAAGTTGTTCTTATTTATAAAAATGCTCACCTTCCTATTTATGAAAAAATGCTCATTTACTTTGGTTCGGAAGACCTGCCAATTCAATTGGGCCAGATTTGAAGTGTTATGAGCTTCTTTTTAGGGATAGTTTGTTAATTTAGAATTGCAGCGATTTAAACTATTTGAGGGTTGCTTGGGACGCAGAGGACAAGATGCACTCTTGGGCATGCATCACTGGATATTGCAAAATTGATAATTGTCATTATTAGTGGTAATCAGCCGATCAATGGAGTTTGTTATCAGAGTCTGACCTTACTACAACTGAAAATCTAATAAATGGTGTTATAGTAGTGCAAACAACTTACAATTTGTCTTCAGCATGCTATCTGGAAAACAATTTTAAAATGGTGTAGTATTTCAGTTGCTAAAAATGTGGATTTTATTGGAACTCTTGTGGTTGATGGTTATTTAAAATATGAATAGGATATGACAATTTAAGAAATATTTAGAACTTAACATTTATAGCCTAAAAAGTTTCTGGAAAGAGTGTCTGCTTTGGGTGTGTTAAGTAAACGTAAAACCTTTAGTCTTTAAATTAAAAGATAAGTATGGCTTAGTTATTACCTCTTTTTCTGACAATGTATTTGAATGTTAACAAGTTTAAGCAAGACTGAAGCCAAAATATGTCCTATATATTTTGTAGCTCTGAGCAAGTGAAGTCATGTTTATTTGCTTGACCTGTTTATAAAGCTGAGGTAGACTGAAGGTGTTTTCAAGGGCAGTATGAATTGTAATTACCACAGACTGGGACATTTTCAAACAAGCTGCCACTCAAAACAACCACACAAACATAGAGGAATACACTGATGTTGTTACAGCATGCATCTCTAAATGCATTGAAGATGTCACTCACACCAAAACTGTTACACTAACCATGGCTGACATACACAGTACACAGGCTCCTGAGAGCACGGGACGCAGCCTTCAGGGCCGGTGACACTGCAGGCCTAGGTCCAGCACGAGCTGACCTGTCCCGTGGAATCAAGATGGCAAAACAGCAATATAGCAATAAAATATCTGGATACTTCAGCAACACTGGAGACGCACGGAGCCTCTGGCGAGGCATTCAAACCCTCACGGACTACAAACCACCTCCCCAGACTTGTGACAATGACATCTCTTTGCTGAACAGTCTCAATGACTTCTGCTGTCGCTTTGAAACACAGAACAACACACCGGCACAGAGACCACCCCTCCCCCAGGGAGAGCAGGCTGTGTGTCTGTCTACAGCCAGCGTGTGGAAGACTCTCTCCAAAATAAACCCACGCAAGGCAGCTGGACCGGATAACATACCTGGTCGTGTTCTAAAGGACTGTGCAGAGGAGCTCAAGGTTGTCCTGACGGATATCTTTAATATCTCCCTGTGCCAAGCAACTGTTCCCACGTGTTTCAAAGCCTCCACATTAATACCGATTCCGAAAAAGCCCCACCAATCCAGCTATGATGATTATCAGCCTGTTGCGCTGAAATCCACCAATATGAAGTGCTTCGAGCGGCTGGTCATGGAAA